AACTTTCCAATATTAGTTAAAAACTATATATCAAAGGTAAAATAATTAGAACGAATAGATAGGGTCTTGCTCAACTAATAATTTGAATACTACTTTGATTGAAAAATCAACATATACTCCTATTAAATTTACACCAAAAATTTCTCCAAATCCTCTAAATTTTTAAAATTACAAGACAATACTGATTAACTCGATTTTAGTAGGACTACATTTAATGCAAGTTCAAAATTATGGTGCTATTTAAAACTTCCAATAATTCTAGTGGTCGATGTTTGTTATTCACAAACTTCAACAATTATTGAGGTTATTTGATGAAACCACGTCAAGTAAAGTTGTGCCTTAGAGAAAAAAAAAAAAACTATGCATTCATCTGAAAATTAACTGCAAAAATGACAATACCTCTGAGCAGTAGCAATCTACAACAGAAGGACCTCAAATTACTATTCTGCCCTTCATTTTTATTTATTATTATTATTTTTTTTTTGTCTGTGCTATGGCATTTAATGGATCATTTATGAAGACAGGCTGTATGGGAAATTGACATGAGTGAACATATATATATCAACCACATTTTATTGTTTTACCAAAGAAAAATATATAATAACAATCTCTATTGTTAGTATAATATGGATACACAATTTGTTTTATTCCTCACATATTTTTAAATAATTTTGTTTCATTCTGTCTTTCATTTTCCTATAATTACGACTAATTAGTTATATATTTTTCTTACATAATGAGTGTGTAAGTTTCAACTCATTTTGTATTTCTCGTTGCCATACCAATGATTGGTTTGTTAAATTATTTTTCTTATTGAAAGTTGGATCAACAACTAAACCGAGCAACTCATTCTCAAGCAGGTGTTCGATTAAAAAATGAGTCGACTATGCTCGACCCATTTAATAAATGAACAAAAGGCTCGACTCATATCCTAGTTTGCGAATGATAAGCTCGACTCGTTCAATAAATTTACTGTTCTAAACGAATTGTTCGCTAATATCTAATCTTCAGTTCACAAACAAACTCAGTTCAATTTATTTAGGCTATGTTTGGTAAAACTAGCTGATAAACTAGCTGATAGCTGATAAGCTAGCTTATAGTTTATCAGTAATTTTCGAGCTTATAGCTTATGACTTATAACCGAAAAACTAGCTTATATGATAAAAGTGTTTGGTAAAATTAGCTGATAAGCTAGTTGGAATAAAAAAAATCAACTAGCTTATTTGGAAAGCTACCTAAAGAAGCTTATCAAATAAGCTCGAGCTTTTTAAATAAGCTCGTCCTACCAAACAGAGCTTATTTAAATACATAGAGCTTATAAGCTAATCAAATAAGTTATAAGCTAACTTATTGGTCTACCAAACATAGCCTTAGTAAACAAAAGCACTTTTAAAAAATTTCTCTCAAAAAATTGATTTACGGAGCCTAAAGACGATTCAGAGGCCCATCGTTCCTGAGCCCAATCATTTTCTGCACTTGAACTGAAGAGGTTTCATTTTATTGAGCCTAACCATTTTCTGGCGATACTTGCCTTAACAACAATAAAACATCATAAATAATTAGAATAACTGGTCGTGAACAAAAATACATACATATATAACTATCAATTATCACATGTCCCAATTTTATTTACATTAGTTTTTAAAATATAACATTTGATACTATTTATATTAAAATATATAACATTTGAAAACATACTATCTATATAAATTATAAGCCGGATTAACCATAACGTAACACATAAGATACAATAAACAAGAATATAAATTAATCACAAATAAGTGAAATAATAATCGCAATAGTTCCCGTTTGTTTCATGAAAAAACACAAAACCAATTCGCTTCAAAACTAGCAACATACCAACTAATAAACTAGTTTTACATACATATTTCCCACATTCATATCTCCAAAACTGATCTTTTTTACACTACATTACAAACCAAATCAACAGTTTGACTTAAAATGTTTTCCCAAATTCAGCAGTGAATAGAACTCACAATATCATGTTCTTCATCACTGGAGGAGGTCATACCAAGCTCCGATTCACTAGGCGGGACAACCCTTTTCCTCAGCAGCGTCTCAATAACAGGTAACTTCCTTTTCCGGCCGCCTCTCGGCATAGACCGAAATTGAGCATCAGATTCTTCGAAATCTCCCTAATAACCAAAATCGGGCACAATCCGAAAAATGTTAAGCACGCACCACTACATAACATCTTTCTGGAGAACTTTTCCAAGAACTGTGAAATGCATACCGGAGTATAAACGTGACACCCAGATTTTTCGTGATTGTCCCGAACGTGCTTAAATGCAAATTTCAAGTGACAGCCAGGTATGCTGCAGGCAAATGGTTTTATTTCCAAATGAACAGCATTGATATGCATCTTGAGATTCGAATTCTGCACCCAAAAGTAGGAGAAAAAAAAAATTATTAAGAAACCATCTCCTATACAGCCAACACCAAACAATTAATCCTTGCGCAAAAACATGAAAAAAAAAAAAAGCAAAAAGGCAGTCTGGATGACAGTATTACATTTGAAAACGTTAGCAAGCATCCCTCGAAGCTACACTTGATTCTCTCAGAGGTATTCACTGACTCATGCATACGCATGTGACGTTTAATGTTCTTTTTAAGCTGCTTTTGACCACATTTATCGCATGTCACATACTGATGACAGGACCTAATATGCTCCTTGAGGCACTTCACATTTGTAAAATATTTCATACATCCAGGCTCTCCACATAGTGCTTCCACCGAGTCTAACTTAACTGCATTCGGCATAAATTTTCATCAATAGAGAGGAATATATAACTAAGAATATATAATTCATTAAACCTAAAAATAACACCAGCTTGAGTATGAAATAAGTAACTCACCATGAGAACTCTCGTGTTTAAGCAATTGGGATCGATACTTGAAGACCTTTCCACACCCGTGTTCTTGACAGATGTGTTCCTTTGGGGCCTCAAGACTCTCATCATCATCAGAAACAGGTTCTTCATGGAACTCTTTCACATGCCGCGTCATATTACCCTGATATGCAAATCGGTGCTTGCAGTCCTCAATTGGACATTCAAAGAGTTTTCCCTCATGGTGAAGCATATGTCTCGATAGGTGGTCCTTCCTTCTGTAGCTAGAGTTGCAGTCATTCACTGGGCATGCAAAAGGTCTCTGTAAAATATGACAATTGTACTTTCAAGAAAGGAAGAATGAATAGCATCAATAGTATTAGACAGAACAAATTGTTGCCTTTGCCTTTCGAACAAAGATATAAAAAAAAAAAATATATACATACAACCCCAAACCTCAATGAATAGCGAGCGTGATAGAGGCTCACTTGATGGAGCTTCTCAGGCGGTCCCCCACCTGATACTAATCCATTCAAGGTGATTTTGTGCCTCACGCATTTTGGAGTTCTTTAAATTGGGATCCAATGCCTCACGCCCATCAACAAATCATGTTCCACCTTAACTTCATTCTGCAAGATTTTCAAGTTAACAATTGCAAATGCTAAATACACAAAACAAAATCACAACAAAGGCAAGATGGTGATGACCATCGGCAGCCAATCAATGAAGCACACAATCAGACAAGGTGAGGATACTCGTAATTTGCAGGTATTTCAACACAATAGCTATGGCAAATATAAACCTACCCGAAAGGACTTCTGCATACTGAAACATCATTAATGCAGTCTGTAAACCTTCATTAGAATCACTTTCCCAAATAAAATGACGCATTTCACCGTAACAATTCCAAAAGTAATTTAGTCACAAATGATACATTATAAATTTACAGCTAGAGGCAGACACAAAGGATAATGCCCAGATCAACTTATAAGAAAACAGATCCTATTTTTGATTATAACCAGTATCTTTAGCTTCAAGTACAAGATTATCAAACAGTACGAAAAATCAACCCAAAGATTACATCTTGAATTAAAAAAAAAAAAAAAAAANNNNACCTCGAGAGAGTGAGACTGCATATGCTGCTTCAGATGAGCAGGTTTCCTGAAACTTGCGCCGCACTCGCCGCAGATATTCAGCTTCTCCTCCTCAAGCCCTTCGTCCTCGTCTACCTTCTTCTCCCTCACTTTCTCCTGCAATTCAAGAAAACCACATAATTTTTTTTTAAAAAAAAAACAAATGAAAATCAACGCCATATAAAAACAGGTGTTTCCACAGCTTGGAACTTGTAAAACCCCAAAAGAAAAAAACACCGCACCTCGTGCTCAGCTAGTATGTGACGAGCAATTAAGGCTTTCTTAGATCGGCATATTCCACAGTACTCGCAGTAATATCTTCTGATGTCTCTGAAAATCGGACCTCGTGCTACCTCCCCTTCGTCCGCCATTTTTTTTCAGCTCTTCTTCTGCTTGAATGTTCACTTCCCGCATAAACCGAGCAAGATTCCAATCATGAACAGCTGCAATTGTGCGTATAAACTTAAAAGAATTACAGAAATGAATTATGAAAGAGAGATTCTGAATAGGGTTTCGATTGGGAGATGCAGCCGCGTGCAGAAAGTAAGAGAGGCGCTGGTGTTTGCTTTTATCTGTGATTAAACCCTAATTTTATGGTCTTGAAGTGGGCTTTTACTAATTCAAAGAATAGGCCCATGGGAGGTTTATGAATATTTGTGAGCCCAATTTCCATTAACATATGTTTCGTACATTATTCTATGAATTAATTATGAAAAAAGGACCACACACACACACACAAAAGAAAAAAAAAAAAGAGAAAATTACCCCACCTACAATCCCTTCCCTAAATAATATCACATTTACAATAATATCAAACTTTCATCAAATTTACGAACTGCTTTAATTAAAATAATTTTAATAATAGATAGGTGGTTAAAGTTGGGCTGATTTTTCGGTAAGTGATGTTAATGATATTTAATTATACACCAACCTCAAAACTTCTCTCTTTTTCTTTTTCTTTTTCTTTTCCCTTCTCTCTCTCTCTCTCTCCTTTTTCCCATCTTTTCCGTCACTTTCTTCTCTTCTCTGATCCCCAAATCAAAAATCAAAATCCAATATCTCAATCAATTTCTTCCAAAAAAAATTCTCGAATTTCAAAATTTCAGTTTCAAGGGAGGTCGATTCAGCGGGGCGCAACGCACGAGACTTCAGCGGCTGCCGGGCGCGTCGGTATGGCAACGGCGCAATGATGTTCGGGGCTGACGGTTCTCTACGAGCCTGCTACTTGATGTCGGCGAGAAGGAAGGTTCACGACTGAAGGTCCGACGGCGATATGGACTCGCGAGGA